TCTGTACTGTAGGACCATCACTAGCAGTCAGGGGAATTGTCTATCATCACTCGGAGTTGCAAAGATTGTGGTCAGGGATCTGGTCATCTGAACAAAAAAACCAAAGACCTGCAGTTACTGGAAATCAGAAACAAAATCAGAAATTGCTAAAATGACTTTGTTCTAAAGAAGGGTCACTGGACCCAAAATGTGAACTCAGCAGATCTGCCAACAACTGTGGAGATAAAGCAGAGTTTTTGCAGTAATTTCTGACTTTGTTTCTATTCACTCATGTCTGTGTTCTGCTTATTGAAGTCAGTGAGAGGTCTGAAGCAAATACAGATCTGAGGGGTGTGGTCGATCATTGAGGGCTTAAAGTAGGTCTGTAGGGGCAGCAGGAGGATCACTGAGAAAAGGAGTTGGACAGTGGAGAATCAGGTAAGGGGCTGGTTAGAGCTAGAGGCATTTGTGGTGTTGGGAACAAGGATGGTGGTAGGAGATTCTTGGTGTATTTAGGGAGGGGTAGAGATGTGGAGCAGTATCGAAGGCCATGGAAAGCTATAGAAGAGATGGTTATTGGCATTGGCCACCACCATGGTCGCCATAGGAGAGCTTAGAGGACTTGGATGGGCATCATTAAGGTAGAATGAATGGGCATAGGGAGGACAGTTAGAGATGGTATTCAATGCGATGGGTCTCCATGCGGTAGGGGAAAAGGGATGAAAATGGGCAATGCAAGGTTAAAGGTGATATCCGGTTGGTTACCTGGTGACTAGCTGTCCACCACAAGCTGTATTCCCTGCCATCACTTGCAGTTCACTGGATGTGAAATGCAACTTGAAAATGACTGGGACAAGGCCCATGGTGTGTAGAGTCAGCGCCACTTCAGTGAAAGGGCAAGATACAAGTCGTCTGGACATTGGAAGGACAAAAGCATGAAGCACACATTTTCAGACTCCAGTTATATTTCATTTGTCATAATTTCTTCACCCATCTGCAATTCATACAAAGAAAAGTTATTTGGGAGTCAAGAACAGTTTGCACTTTGCCACTTGCAAATCGAACACTCTGTATGCAAGTTACCTGCCATGACCTGAAAGGAGGAGAATGGTAACTAAAACTGTCCCACCACTTGTCGAATTTGCATGAGTACTGTGGGAGAAGGAAACAATACTTCATTATATGATGATGGACTGTCCTGCTTTTCAAGTGACAAGTTTCATGGTTGATGTGAATCTGGAATGGGAACTTATTCAGAGCACAACAAGCATTCCCCTTCTGATGTAATGTGTTGGTCAGTCAGCTGGCATAGCAATTTTACCAAGGTTGTGTACATGGTGTGACCAGGGCCATGATGAAGCAGATGGCAGGGCTGAAGATGTAGTTCTGCTGCTCAAATCAGACTTGGGTAGGGCATCTGGAATAATCAAGATAGTGTGCTGCACCTTTCTTGTATGCTGTGCTCTGCACATTTGGAACGGGCAATGATGCAATGTGATGTACGAGGAGGAGTCAATAACAGCAGTCATTTGGAGAGAAAGATGAGGACATTGAGCTGGAGAAAGTTTCTTGTGAATGATGAAGCTCAACTGCTTGGGTGTTACAAGGCACTTGACACACTGTTCCAGTAGATGCAAACTGGGCACAGAAGATGGCTCGACAGACTGAATGACTTACTCCTGTTACTATTTCTTATGGTCTTAAGATTATCCTGGAATGCCAAATAGTAGTTAGTCATCACGCCAGCATTCGGTTTGCACTGTGAGCACAAATTGCAGCCTCTACTCATTCCATCTGTTAATTTTTAATGGCTGTTAATACAAGCTAATGTTTGGACTTGTCTGATTGGTATGTGATGTTCCCCTACAGGACAGTGATAAGATTCAGGTATCCAGTGGGCTTTGAAGGTAGAGTAGCGCTGCCTTGGAGATGGTGCTTAGATGGAATATAATTAAGGACAGGTAAATT